ACTGCAGCCTCAATCTCCCGGGCTTAAGTAATCCTTCTGCCTCAGCCTCCCTAGTATCTGGGACTACATGTGCGTGCCACCATGCCTGTTTAATTTATTTTTATTTAATTTTTTGTAGAGATGGGGTCCCACTGTATTGCCCAGGCTGATCCCAAACTCCTGAGCTCAAGCAATCCTCCAGCCTCGGCCTCCCAAAGTGCTGGGACTACAAGCATGAGCTGCTGCACCCAACCACAGTTTTCTTTTAACTATGAAGGGATACTGGTGAAGGAGAAAGAACTCTGAAGTTAGACAAACCTGGATTGAAATCTCGAACCTATTATTTAATGCAAGTTATTTAAATCTGTGCCTCAATTTCTGCATCTGTAAAACAAAGATGAGGACTATTTATTCTAACAGCTATTGAAGGTTCAATAAAATGAAACATGTAAAATACTTAGCACAAAGTTGAAGATGGGTAACATTTAGTTCCTAAATTGTGATGAGTATCTCTGTGGCTAAGACTGTTAGAAAGAGGTGCATTTAGAAAGCTGGATGGATAAAATATAAGTCTTGCGTTTTTCTCTTTTCCTTTAGGTGGGGGTGCCATAGGTGTATCCAGGGGTCCCATTGTGCTAGCTGGTAGGCTTTGCACAAGATTTTGCAGCCAAAAGAGGAATTTGAAAAAAATATAAGATCCCAATGAGTATAAAATAAAAGCACAGAAGGAGGCAATTACCATTGTGGATGTTGCTGAAGGATTCAGAGGGCAGAAAGCAGGAAGGGAAGGAGCAGAATCTGCCTGATTCTTTTTTTTTTGAGAGCGAGTCTAACTCTGTCACCAGGCTGTAGTGCAGTGGTGGGATCTCTGCTCACTGCAACCTCTGCCTCCCAGGTTCAAGCGATTCTCCTGCCGAGTAACTGAGATTACAGGCCTGCGCCACCATGCCCAGCTAATTTTTGTATTTTTAGTAGAGACAGGATTTCACCATGTGGCCAGAATGGTCTCAAGCTCTTGACCTTGTGATCCGCCTGCCTTGGCCTCCCAAAGTGCTGGGATTACAGGCGTGAGCCATTCACCCGGCCCTGGCTGATTCTTAATATGTAGCAAGAACTTCTACCCAATAATTGTGCGTTAAGGGGCCTATGCTAAGGTAATAATCCTAAATACATAAAAACAAGCACATAGGTGGCCATGAGATATTATTTAGCCATTATAAATAATACAACTTAGTATATACATTATCAACTCAATTGTTTTTTAAAAAGGATACAGATGAAAAAAAACTAGAAAGAAATACAAAACAGCACTACAAGTACTTAATTTTTATGTGATAAATTATGACTGTGGAATTTCAATATTCATTTTAGTTCCTATTTTGGAAATTTCTACTCGTAACCAATATCATTTTTATGATCTCTCTACCCTCAAAAAAAAAAAAAAAAATCGGCCGGGTGTGGTGGCTCATGCCTGTAATCCCAGCACTTTGGGAAGCCGAGGTGGATGGATCACCTGAGGTCAGGAGTTCAAAAACCAGCCTGGCCATCATGGTGAAACCCCATCTTTAAAAAAACAAAAACAAAAAATAAGCAACAAAAAAGTTATTGAAAAAAATAAATGCATGGAAAATATCTGAATTGATTAAAGGAGATCTAATCATTTCAGGTTTCAGATTTGTAGGTGGTAAGATGGAAATTTCTTTTTTTTTGAGATGGAGTTTCGTTCTTGTCTCCCAGGCTGGAGTGCAGTGGCATAATCTTGGCTAACTGCAGCCTCCGCCTCCTGGGTTCAAGCGATTCTCCAGTGCCTCCTGAGTAGCTGGGACTACAGGCACCTGCCACTGTGCCCGGGTAATTTTTGTATTTTTAGTAGAGATGGGGTCTCATCATGTTGGCCAGTCTTATCTTGAACTCCTGACCTCAGGTGATCCACCCGCCTCAGCCTCCCTAAGTGCTGGGATTATGGGCATGAGCCACCACGCCTGGCAGGAAATTTCTTTATGTAAATTAAAGGGCCTGAAATTTGTGTTTCTTGCAGGGTGGAAGGCCTGCATGGCTCCACATGAAAGAAGACTGCAGAGGGATTGCAAAATAGAGACAACGGCCTTTTTTTTTTTTTTGGAGATAGTCTCACTTTGTCGCCCAGGCTGGAGTGCAGCACGATCTTGGCTCACAGCAACCTCCACTTCTTGGGTTCACGTGGCTCTCGTGCCTCAGCCTCCCAAGTAGCTGGGTTTATAGGCATGTGCCACATCTGGCTAATTTTTGTATTTTTATTAGAGATGGGGTTTCGCCATGTTGGCCAGGCTGGCCTTGAACTCCTGGGCTCAAGGGATCTGCTGCCTTGGCCTCCCGAAGTACTGATGTTACAGGCGTGAGCCACTGCACCCAGCCATGCTTTCAATAATAGGTTTAGGCCGGGCGCGGTGGCTCAAGCCTGTAATCCCAGTACTTTGGGAGGCCGAGGCGGGTGGATCACGAGGTCAAGAGATCGAGACCATCCTGGTCAACATGGTGAAACCCCGTCTCTACTAAAAGTACAAAAAATTAGCTGGGCATGGTGGCGCGTGCCTGTAATCCCAGCTACTCAGGAGGCTGAGGCAGGAGAATTGCCTGAACCCAGGAGGCGGAGGTTGCGGTGAGCCGAGATCACGCCATTGCACTCCAGCCTGGGTAACATGAGTGAAACTCCGTTTCAAAAAAAATAATAATAATAATAATAATAATAATAGGTTTAGATCTACTGTATTGAGCAAAAAAAGCTCTCAACTACAGCCCTCAACCTTTTGTACCTAACAGGTGTGGTGGCTCACGCCTGTAATCCCAGCACTTTGGTAGTGAGGCCCCCATCTCTATTTTAAAAATATTTAAAAATTAGCCAGGTGTGGTGGCCTGTGTCTGTAGTTCTGGCTACTTGGAAGGCTGAGGCAAAAGGATGGCCTGAGCCCAGGAATTGGAGGCTGCCCTGAGCCATGATTGTGCCACCGCACTCCAGCCTAGGCATCAGAAAGAGACCCTACCTCTAAAAAATAAAAAAAGAAAAATTCCGTACCTCATAGCGTGGTAGAGAGAAGCCTGGCTTGGACCTGGAGGACTACTGTTAGTTTGGTTTTTGAGTCACAGTCTCACTCTGTCACCCAGACTGGAGGGCAGTGGTTCTCTCACAGCTCATTGCAGCCTCGCCCTCCTGGGCTCAAGTGATATTTCCACCTCAGCCTCCCGAGTAGCAGGGACTATAGGTGCGTGCCACCACATCTGGCTAATTTTTGTATTTTTAGTAGAGACAGGATTTCACTAAGTTGGCCAGATTGGTCTCGAACTCCTGACCTCGTGATCCACCCGCCTTGGCCTCCCAAAGTGCTGGGATTACAGGCGTGAGCCACCGTGCCTGGCGTTTCATAGTGTTTTTAAAGTTAATATTGTGCCGCATTACATAAAATACAAGAACCTTGCACCCTACTTGTACTTTAAGCTATAGTTGCCAAATGCATCACATTTTCACGTTATAAATTTCATTACAGAGTGTTATAATTTTTGCTTTGAACAGTCATGTTTTAAAGAAATTACAAGGAAAAGGAGTCTTTTATATTTACCCACATATTTACCTTTCTGAGGCTCTTCCTTCCTTCCTGAACATCCAGGTTTCCATCTGGTATTATTTCCCTTCTGTCTAAAGAACTTCATTTAGCATTTCTTATAGCACAGGTCTGCAAGTGACAGAGTCTAAGTTTTAAGTAAAAATGTCTTTAACTTGCCTTCATGATTGTATGATATTTTCATTTCATCTGTAAGATTATTTCCAGGTAAAGGGTTGACGTTTTCTTTTTTTCAGAACTTTAAATACGTCATCTCACTTGATTCTGATGAGAAGTCAAAGGCATTTCAAATCTTTGTTACCCTCATGTGTCATTTTCCTTTGGCTACTCTAAAAATGTTATTTTTATGTTTTCTTCTCAATAGTTTGGCTCTGTTTTGTTTTGTTTTTGTTTCTGAGATGAAGTCTTGCTATATTGGCCAGGCTGGTCTCAAATTCCTGGGTTCAAGTGACCCTCCCGCCTCAGTCTCCTGAGTAGCTGGGACTACAGGTGCATGCCACTGTACCCAGCCTCATTTTTGAAATTTAAATACAAAAAACTGAGCACTGGTTTTTTTTTTTTTTTTTT